TTAGCCACATAAGTAGAAATAAAAAGTCCACAGCACCCTTCTTTTCACCTCAGAATTACAAAAACTTATAAAGTAGTAGTTCATGTTGAGTGCTACCAACAAGCCAGATTGACAAAAAACAGAGAAAGTATTTAACGGTTTTTAGAAAACTCCCATTATGAAAGTATTTGTTTCATCTGCCTCCTATACTATCTTCCAGGAATTCAAGTACAATACATCCTTTTTTTTTTCCTTTTTGGAAGATGCTTAAAGGATTGTAAAAGAAATTATCAGCTTCTCTTTTTAAAAATAAAAGCACCATAGACCTTACTCTGAGAGGTGGTTAAGATCTGGATTAGGTGTGGAAATCCAAACTCCAGTTTTCCCTAAGGCACAAAAAACTAGTAGATGACCTTGGCCAATCACTTTCTCCTAGTCCCCAAAGAGCATCAGCTCTGTGACAAGCTGGCTGAAAAGCAAGCCCTTCATCAACTCATGCACTGATGGCTTTGCTGTGGGAACAAACACAAAGCAACCAAGCAGACCCAGCAACCAAGCAGGACAAATGCTAAAAACAACCACTATCATCATAGACTGTAATCTCCCACATATCCCTTTTCAAATCAATTATCTCTACCAAGACAGGAGGAAATTCATGCAGAAAATGAAGGCCACTAACTCAGATTGGGTTTGTTTCAAAGTAAACTTCTTAATCTCAATTGTGTATGCCTAAATCTACTCATGCCCCCAAAGTCAGCAACATTCTTCTAGGACCCAATATTTAAAGGTTTACCTACGGATTACCTCCTTTTACTTCCTAACACCTGGCATGATGATAAAAACAAACAATAAAAAAAAATGGCAATTTCTACCTAGTAGTAGTAGACCATTAAAGGCAAGGAGGGAACTGCTAGTCAGAAAAGGAGATGCATCCTGAAAAAGACACATACAAGAAAACTGCTGTGCCTGATTGCCAGTATTTGCATCTTAAAAGTAAATTGCATTTCACATCAGAAGCAATAAACTACATAAATAATCATAAAGTTATTTTCACATACTTGCTGAACAACAGAATTGTTTTTATACTAAAAGGGCTAAAGGGAACAGAGTAATAACAAAAAGCAAAATCCACAAATTTGAACATCCCTTTACAGCAAAATGCACTGCTTACTAAATCAATACTATACAAAAGTATAAAACAGAGTACACATGTCAATCTGTCTAGCAAGCTAATTAGCATAGTATTTTGAATTTTAAATATATCTGAAGTCACCACAAACTGGCACAAGAGACTACTGAATGCAATTAAGATAACAGATCAGCAAGCCAATCAGAACTTCCATTTTGGCCTTTCAAAATGTTCACATAAACAAAAACTATGTTTTTGAGCCTATATTCAAACAACCAAGCAAATCAGTGGGCCAATCAAACCTGTATTATACTGATACTTTCTACATTTATATTTCACCTGTTTTTCTAAAGAAAGTTATACACGTAACAAAGGTAGATGAACTCCAACTTCCTTACGGGAATCTTTATCAAAAGAAACCCAAAATACCAGTGGTTCACTTTCTTGACAGTTGAGGAAATAAGTTCCTTAAAATCCCTCTTGCTTTGTCCCAAAACTTCACCTCCAGATCACCCTATCCAGCCTAAGTCAATAGCAATAGGGGCACAGCAGGTCGTTCCAGCTCTACCAGCCTAGAAAGGAAAATTCAAAGTATAACACTCCAAGCTGAAAGGCAAAACACCCTTCCATTCAAAAACAGTATTTTGTTTTGTTTTGTATTTGAACCAAAATTTAGTGAACAAATGTGTTTTATTCCGAGACTAAATTGTTTTGTTCATCCTTTTTCAAAAGTCATGTTTTGCTCCATTCAAAATGTACATATTAACAAAGACTGGCACAAAGTCTTTGTTAATACATTTATCAAATCATATTTTGTATATATCATTTTAAAATTTATATAATCACTTAAATATCAATTTCCTTAAAGTATGTACACAAAAAATTCAAGACACCTAAATTATTTAAATCCCTCTGCAATTTTTCTTACAAACTTAGTACTGCAAATTCAAACTGATTTTTAACCAAAATCACCCAGCTGTAGAATGATTATAATTATTCCTACCATAGAAGAGAGCATTTTATCAAAATAACAAAAGACAGAACATAAGAATCTGTTGCACAATACACACAAATTTATCATCACAATTAAGCAGTGTAATTACAGCCGAGTTAGAGGGAGTAGTTGCTTTATATGAATGTGTCATCAAATAATCCCATATTCATTCTGTAAAAGACAGTTTTATGTCATAATACTTCTTTGCAGTTTATGAATTTCACAATTATACAGTCTCCTCTCAAGGCAAAGACATCAACATTTTATACTGTAATTTATAATGACAAAGGTTACTGATACAAAGAAAATTAATTCAGAATAATTATAACTAGCAATTTTTTTTAAAAAAAATCCAGATTTGCCAACATATACACACAAACAACTTTAGGTATAAATGACACATATCACAGTGCAAAAAATACGTAAGAGAAATAAAAACTCTTCCACAAAGATTTTAAAAAAATTGCAGTTTCTTTAGCAATCTGCATATATGCATGTTGTAATGTAATACTAGCAATATTCAAAATTAAACTCCAAATATTTTTCAGATATCTATGGCTTAGATCAACAGTTGTAAAAGTTTCAGATACTATAAAGTATTTTTATGAAAATATTCCTTGAATCTTTAATGCATTTCCCTTGTCTAGATATTAAATTCTTTCCATTTCCAAAATCAAGCAAATATACCTCAGAATAAGGTTCTAGAAAAGTATTGATCTTCAAAGAGGAAAAAAGAAAACAGCTGCTTCAACAGGAGTATATAATTAGTTAAGTGATGTATGGTGTTCACAGTAACAGAAAGGAGCTTCCACATAGCTTCTCTGCCTGGTCTTCACAAGCCCATTTTTCTGAATATCTCATTAATATTATTAGAAGGGAACAGAAAGAAATAACATGCCCTACTTCTCAGAAATGTTAAAGTACTGACATCCGCCATTTTCTCAGCAAAGGAGGAAGACATGTTGGAACAAAAACACAAAAGAGAGCAGCCATTTCTATTAGTACATCCCAGGAGTTGCCAGCTACTCCCACTGTATTTCAGAAAATGGTCAGAGAATTTAGTTGGGGGTATGAAGGGTGGGGGGAATGAGGCAGCCAAAAGTAAAGGAGCCTTCAATATCTTTTATACATGTAGTTTATCATAACCCTCGGTAACATATAACACTTCCTCTTAACGCTGAACAAAGTAAACTGATCCTTTAAGAGAAAAGTAATAAATATTCTACCTGCCTAAAGCTATAGTTCTTACCTTATATGAGGGATGCCGACTCCCCCTTGCAGAATCTTGTATAGTTTGCTTTCATATAACAGCTGGGGATGCCTGGCCTTCTGTGATTCTAACTTCACAGCTACTTCCTACAGTGGAAAAGGAGACATGGGTCAACAGTCCTACTAGTTAGGAGGACTACATCTCACTGCTTTACAAAATCTGAGAATAGGGAAAATGATTTGTATCATTCCCTAGGTCTTAGCAACCTCTGCAAATATACAATTTGTGTACAATGATACTTGTACACAAACCCATTCTTAAAAAGAATGCTATCAGGCACCTAAAGTTACTCTGTAATATGTTAAAATCATGTCCTATTTTTGGGGACAAGATCAGGATGACAACATGAAAAAAAAGTGCAGTCTTTCCACAAGAGTATTTTTACTGGTTCCCAGAAAATAATCAGAACGCCTATACGTATGTATTTACTTCACACGTTACTATCTACACCGAATGTGGGCATTATATGTAAAAAAAGGGTACTTCCCGATCCTTTGAATTAAACACTGCAATCCCACAATCTTAGTTTTTTTTTTTTTTGTATCCTGTCCACAGCATTTTAATTCCTATTTGGCAGAAGTATCCGCATTTATTTTAAACGTTACCAAAATGCAAAATCGAAGCACGGGAACGAAAACCCAACGGTACTCTCCAAACCTAATTAAAGAGGAAGATGACCAGACCTCAAAATAAAAGTGCAACCTGGGACAAACTCGACGACCTGGACTTCCACTTCGAGAGAAACAGCCCTTCCCCCCCCCTCGCCGCCACTCTTCCCACGCAATTGACACCCGGCCGGATCCGGAGCGCACGTGAGCCCGCCCGAGTAAACGCGATCTCTACCTACTGGCGAGGCACAAGACATCGAAGGAAGGAAAAAAGTAAAGGCCCGGGCACCGGTCGGCCCTTACCTCCCCGTTAGTGATATTGATGGCCAAGTATATGTCCCCGAAGGAGCCCGAACCAATCTTCCGCACCAGCTTGTATTTGTTCCCGACAATGAACTCGGCCTTGGAGCCGCTACTGCTCGCCATGGCGACGGAGGGGATGGGGGATGGGGGTTATTTCCCACGCCGAGAGCCCGCGAGTTCTTCTTCCGGGAGCTCCTGCTCGATCACGGCTAAGGACGGGACACGGGGGGGGGGGGAAACGCAGAGGAAAGGGCTTCGGACTCGGCGACTTGGATCGCGTTAGGCCTCTCTGGATGGTGGACGTCCAACACACTTTCCCGGCTGACAGCGCGCTTTTCTCCTTCTGAGGAACAGGGGCTCTCGGAGGGGGGGGGGAGGAAGGAAAGAGGGGAAAATAAAAGGCCAAGCGAGCCCGTCAGTCCGCCGCCACAGACTGGCGCTTCACTCGGCCGCCGCCATCTTGTCTGTCTGTCGCTCCCTCGTTTCCTTTCTCGCTGCCGATATCCAGGACACAAAATGCCTCCAGCCCGCGACCGACGCTTCTTCACCGCGCTGAGTACTCTGGGAAACTGGAGAGAAGACCAGCCTGCGCATGCGCCTCCCAAAGAGAGGAAAAGAGGACAAGCAGGAAGTATGTGTGATCTTAACGCCTCGGCTGGGCGAGGCCGGTTCAAAATATGCGCATGCGCAAAAGCAGCGGGCTTGTTCTTTGAAGCAGAGAAACCCCGCCCTCCCTTACATGGAATTAGAATTACGCAGTTACCATCGTTCCACACATGCAAAAAAGGTTTGTTACTGTACCTTTCAAGTACAAAAAAAAAAAGGGGGGGCTGGTCACGCGCATGCGCTTTCTGAAGCAAAGGGGGTTTAGGAGCATCGTGAGAATCGTGTGGCTAATATTCTGGTAAACTAGATTAAGCCCACTTGTACCTATTTGTGTCAGTTATATTGTGTGTGTGTGTATAGATATAGATATATAGATATAGATAGACACACACAATATAACTGGTACAGATAGGAACAAGTTGTATGTGTGTATGTAAGAGAGATAAGAGATAAACTTTATTGTCATTTTTATACTGTGGGCACAACTAGCACATATCAAAAATGAAATTTAGTTGCCCGCTCTCAATGTGAAACACATACATGACACACACCTAAACATACTATGAACAACATATGTATAGACTCACATCCCTACATATACGTAGCAATAAATATTAAATATTGTCCATCTTGAATATATAATGGAAGGAGGAAGCTTGAGAGTTTGCAAGGTTAATGCTGTATGGAATGAAACTCTGGCTGAATCTGGATGTTCTGCTTCGGATACCACGAAGCCTCCTCCCAGAAGGTAACAAGGAAAACAGGTCATGAAGAGGATATGTAGTGTCCCAGATAATCTTATGGACCCTGCTCAAGCAGCACTTCTGTGCTACAGTATGTCCTGGATGGGAGGGAGGGAACTGCCAATGATCTTTTCTGTCATTCTCACCTTCCTGTCTGAAGCAGTGATGCCTCCAAACCAGACTGTGATGCTGTATGACAGGATGCTCTCAATTGTCCCCCTGTAGAAAGTGGTCAGGACAGGGGAAGGAAGATGTGCTTTTCTAATGCGGCGCAGAAAATGCAGGCGCTGCTGTGCCCGCTTCACCAGTTTCTCACTGTTGAGCGATCAGGTCAGCCTACTCGTTAGCTGCACACCCAGGAATTTGATGCTGGTAATATATATATAATATGTGTGTATATATCTACACACACACACACACACACACACACACACACACACACACACACATACTGCCCTCATGTTCATCAACACTTTTTCTCAAGTAAAGAGGTAGGCAAAACCAAACCCAGAAATTGGAGAACTATGCTATTGCATACAGAAAATATAGTATGAGTATTGTATATTAATTCAGCAAAGGTTAATCGTTCCTTCTCTGAGGTACATGATGTGATCATTATTTTCTCTTCAAAATGAGAGGATAAATGAATAATGAAGTGAAAGCTCTTAGGAAATTTTCAAAAGTAAAGGGATATTTATAGTGCTGTTTGGATACATCCCTTATGACAATGCAACCATTATTTATACATGTATATATAATTATCCCTAAGATTTTATGTGGCCAACAATAAAATAAAACCATAAACAATAAACATTAAAAATTGACAGGATAAGATATACAAGTAGTCCTCAACTTAAGACCACAATTGAGCCCTAAATTTCTGTTGCTAAGTAAAACATTTGTTAAATGAATTTTGCCCAATTTTATGACCTTTCTTTCCACAGTTTTTAAGTGAATCGCAGTTATTAAGTTAATGATGCAGTTGTTAAGCCATGGATTGTTTAACCCGTGCTTTTTTTTGTAAAAAAAAAAAAAAAAAGGTGCCGGAACTCATGAACAGCTCCAGCTGCAGTCGAAAGCCCTTTTTTTGGGGGGAGGAAACGCTTAGGGAGCTTCCGAGGTGCAGATCACGTGAGCAGGGTCAGCTGATGGACGCCATTGCCACAGCTTTTGAGAGGGCACTTGTTTGTAGCTGGCATGTTTTCTGCCACCTCGTCCTCCTCCACTTCTGATGACACAGAGGCTTCCTCCGGAACCAGAAGGACCAAGGTGGTGTTGGAGCTGCTGCTTTGAGATTGCACCTGGTTCCTCGAAGAGATTCGCTCCAGGAGCCAGTCCTAGTCCCTGGTGGCCAACACGGGGGTGAGGACAGGCGGTGGTGGTGGTGGGAGCCTCATGAACCAAGGCAGAGAAGTGGGTCTGCTTTCAGGGCCGTGGAAGTGTTTCTGGGTCAACCTTCGATGCCCCTGATTTTCCCGGGCAGCTTCCTTTCACTGAGCCAGAGCTTTACTCGCACAGGCAGCTTAGAAGGAGCCGGTTCTTCCATTCAAAAAACGGTGCCAGAACACCGTCCCGTGCGTTCTATGACAAAAAAGCACTGTGTTTAACTATATAGAATGAGCCACGGATGGCTGGACTTAGATTAACATATAACACAGTTTGCAACCATAATAGCTGTTTTATGCCACCCAGAATCCTTTGGCAGAGGGTGGATTATAAGTAAAATAAATACCCATGACCAATCCAAGAAGACTTTATTATGTCTATAGCATGCCTCAAGCAAGGTAATGTGCAGAATTAATAAGAAAAGAATGCAAAGAAGAGCAATAAGCATGATGCAAAATCCTATGAAGAATAATTAAAATGCCTGAATAAATTTAGCTGAAGAAGGAGAGACATGATAATGGTCTTCCAGTACTAGACTAGAGCTGCAGTGCTTATGAGGAGGACAAGAGGTAATAGGGACAAGTATTAGCGAGAGAGATTCAAAATGAGGAATTTCCCACTTTCTAGATTTGCAGGTGTTCCATTAGAATAGAATAGAATAGAATAGAATAGAATAGAATAGAATAGAATAGAATAGAATAGAATAATAGAATAATAACTTTATTGTCACTTAGAATGTACACTAATCGGCATATATTAAAATGAAATTACTGAAGGTTTTCAAACAAAGGTTGAAAATATTTGTTTCAATGGTTTGAGGATTTATGCCTCTAACTTGGTTGTCCTATCAATCCTATGATTCTAAAGAAACTCAACATGTATGTGTCCCTTGTCCCATACAATGCTTTAACCAAGCTTTATAACTTAACCATATTGTCTGAATCTAGTTTGGCTGCCATTTGTCCTTTCTGGAACCTGGAATTTCTGACCTCTGGAATTCAGTTGTATAGGAGTAATATACTCTGCAGTTCTGCAGAGTAAAGTTAGGCAACAACAAAATAACAAGGAAATCTTAATTCTAATGCATTTATTTAGTCATTAGTATTTCTATGACACTATACTTCAAACTGAAGATATTTTATTGTTTTAAATTTATTTTACTTTCAGAGCTTATTCAGGTGAACGTATCAATGTACATTTAATTTTTTTTTCTTAATTTATCCCATGTTACCGATATGCATACATGGCAAAATGGCTGAAATAGCTTTTATGTTTAGTTTCATTTTGTTTTGTTTTTCCTCTCAATAAAACAAAAGCTTGCATTCTGGATGTGCAGCTTATTCCAGCTTATTTACTTCCTAATATTTTGGTATGAATATGTATAGTAAGCATATGAATAGTAAGAATATTTTTGAAAATTTTAAAATGAAACAAATAGAGCTATCGTTCATATAGCTGCAAAAATCTATCCACCTTGATGTTACCAAAGATACAACTCTGATAGGGTTGCTCAAGAAAGAGGATGTTTATCAACTGGAAAAATAAAATGGGAAATTATCCTTCTTTCTCCATAAGAAGATTCATTCTAGGGCGGTGATGGTGAACCTTTTAGAGACCGAGTGCCCAAACTGCAACTGGTTTCTTACCGCCGCCCAGCTTGTTCCACAGCCTCATGGCAGCAGCACTGGGCAGGCGCGGCAAATGGCCGGTTTTGGCGCGAAGTGGCTGTTTACCTCTGGCTACGGCCATTTGCCGCCTTGTGCGTCACACCCAATGCCACTGCCACGAGGCCGCGGAACAAGCTGGGCGGAGATAAGGAACCAGTATACTGGTTTCTTACCACTGCCCGGTTTGTTCTGCGGCCTCATGGCAGTGGCATTGGGCAGGAGGTGGCAAACGTCCGGTTTCGGCGTGACGCAGCTGTTTGCCACCTCGTGTATTGCGCCCAATGCTGCTGCAATGCGGCTCGGCTGAAAGCTGCCATGGAACAAATGGGGCAGGTTTCGCCCTCGCCTGCCCATTCAGCTACAGCTTTGGTGGTTCTGCCTACAGAACCACCAAAGCAGCAGGTGGAGCGCCGGCCTGAAGAAGGGACTTATTTCATGTTCAAACCAATTCATTGTGGAAGTTTCTCCATTTGCATTCCAACCTACTCATGCACTTCATTGCTCTTGTTTGCTTGGTAAACCAAGAAACTAGTGATTGAGCTCTGCTGGAAGGAAGAGGGTACTTAGAAATGACAGTGCCAAGTGACCAGTCCATTTCAATATTCTACAGATCAACCAGAGCTTCAGCATCAGTATCAGTATCAACTGCTGAAGCTCTCCAAATGCATTAAAAAAACAATCCAGATCCATCAGATACCTAGATTAACTCATTTCTGCAGAAGCTTACTGCAACTGGCCAGAAAGCAATCTGGCCATGACACCATAGAGCTTTGCCATCTCACAGAACACCCTCACCAGTCAGAATACCAAATTCAGCACATGTCCTGTTGCATGCATGGAGCCAGATACAGGTTACTGTAGCTCAATGGACGTCATAGCAGATCCCTGTTGAGTCAACAATTGTGGTATGGGAAATGAAATCTCACGGGACAAAGGCTCTAGAACAGTGGTTCTCAACCTGTGGGTCGGGACCCCATTTGGGGTCAAATGACCATTTCATGGGGGTCACCAAACCACGCTGTCCGCCATTTTTTTCCCTTTCCCCTAGCTGTTCTACTCCCTCTTATTGGTGGCCACACCCACTTGGGGGTCACCACAACATGGGGAACTGTATTATGGGGTCACGGCATCAGAAAGGTTGAGAACCACTGCTCTAGAATTATGAGACATTACAGCTCTAGAGTTGTGAGGGATTACAGCTAGTTCAGGAAAAGTGTTGTTGAGTAAGGTAGACAGTACATGAACAGAATCCATACATATTCTGGCCACCAAAATACAGCAAGAAGCACTCTGCATTGGCAGATTTTGGACAGAGCTTCTGGCTGGTCAGATGGAATTCCTATAAACCATAGCTGTGCTAACTTTGACCTGCTGCGACACCGAGT